AGCAGGACTGGCACTGGGCCCGCCGATATGGGCTGCCTTACGTGGTGCGCGTGGACCTCAGCCGCCTGGCCCCAGCCCCGCCAGCCACCCCGGCCTCTTCTGGTGCCCTAGGCCCTGTCCCAGCTCCCATCCCTGTCCCCAAGCAGGCCCTTGCCTTCGCCTCCTTCTCCCCGCCCAGGCGCCTGCGGCTCGTGGTGAGCCATGGCTCCATTGCCCTGGATGTGAACACTGAGGAGTCGTGAGGGTGATGGCGGGGTGGGGAGGGGTGGGGTGGGATCTGCGCCGCCCCTCTGTGACTGCTGTCCCCTGAGCCACCCCACCCAGCAGGGGGCCCTGGCCCTTCTGTCCTTGCAGCCCCTCCCCTGCCTCAGGACTACAGGAGCCCCTCCCCTCATCCTCCCTCCCAGGGAGCAAAGCCATAAGAGGGTGGGGCCACGCCTTGGCATCTCCCGAAGCCGGGCCTCAGGACGAGGTGGGACCCAGGGGTGGACCTCCAGGATGGGAGTGGGTTTGCTCTGGCTCTGCAGCTGTCCGAGGTGGGGACAGGTGGGTGACGGGTGTTGGGGGTGTGCCCCCTTCACTGCCCTGCAGGTCTCAGGGAGGCCGGGCGCGACCTCATCTTTCTATGGTGCTATCTCTGGTGCTACTGGGTTGTGGGGGGCTCCCTCCCCTCCCCACACCAGAATGGGGTATGTTGGGGGATTGAAAGCACTTGAACTTTTTATTTTATTTTATTAAAACCTTGTTATAAGCAGTGTCCGTGGGACTTTTCTGTTCTGGTTTATGTCTTAGGAGCTGTGAGTCTGGAGGGTGACCACAGCCATGCTGTAGACACAGACGGCACAGGCCTGGGCCCTGAGGTCTACTGCGAGATGCTTTGGGAGACCTCTTGTAGGGCAGTGGGTTCTGGAGACTTGAGGGTAGGAGGCAGAAATGGTCAGCAGGAATACCAGCACTCCAGGAGGCAGAGGTGGGAGGATCCCAAGTTTGAGCCCAACCAGAGCAATGTAATGACAGCCTAAGAAGGGGTCAGGTGACAATGGTGGGGAGGATAATGGGCCCAAGGAGGAAGGTCGCTGGCCATCAGGAGAATTAAGTTCCAGTCACTGGACTCAGGAGGGCAAGACGCGACCGTGGTTGGGCAGGGGTTGGTACAATGTCCTGTGCTCTGGACACTACCTGCATGGCCTCAGCTAGTCCTCGGCCAGGCTTTGGCACCTGCTGGCTTCCTTCCCCGTTGCAGTGCCACTCCTGTGGCTCTGCGGATATTTATTGTGTGGCCAGATGCCCCCCTCCACACCCTGCCTTTGGGGTCATGGTCAGGGAGGGAGCTAGGAGAGGGCGCCTGGGGCTGTCCTGGCTGGTGGGAGCCTTCCTCCCCCTCACCCAGCCCTCCTGCTTCCTTCTGATTGGGTCAGAGCCAGTTAGCACGGGAGACAGGCTTGTCAGGCCACAGTTCACCTCCGAGCCCGGGAGGGTCCCTCCGAGAGCTGTGCGCAGTGTGCTGGGAGGCCGACAGCCTCGGGCGGCAGGTCTGGCCCTGGCCTGAGGAGAGCCACACTTCAGGGAACCCCTGGTCAGAAGCGAGCGAGGAATAGGTCAGATGGGGCTGAGAGCCTGAAGTGACGAGTGTCGGGAGTGACTGAGTGCAGTGAGGGGAGGGCTGGGGAAGGAAGCCCGGCTGGGGGCTCTGAAAAGACGCAGGTGCGGAGCCCGGGGACCCTCGTTGGAGTGAGAGGGGCGGGCGTGCGGAGAGAGGAAGCGAGGCAGGAGGGGGTGCTGGGCCCCGGACAGACGGGTGACAGGCGGGCGCA